ACAGAGGTAATTCATTAAAAAGTTTAGGACCTAAATTTTCAAAAGCACGGTCTTTGTATAACACCTTGGACTTTTTACTACACACCTGACGAGTTTTAATAAGAAACTTTGATTCAGATCTTAAACTACGACTAGGTACATAAAATTCGATTAATTCACATAGATAATTTGGGGCAAAACCATACAAAGATTTATACACTAGTAAAAGTAATTTGAAATTGATTCTTTGTACAACTGGTAACCAATGAAGTTTAATAAAAATGTCTGTAATGTGGTCATATTTTCGAGCACGAGTGACAAGGCGGGCTGCTGCATTTTGTACACGAATAAGAGGTTTTATCTTAGTTACAGGGAGACCAGACAATAATGAATTACAGCTGTCTAAGCGAGAAGATATGAATGCATGTACCAACTTTTCAGTATCAGATTGGGATAATGATTTACGAATACGATTAATATTTCTTAGATGGGAATATCCAGATCTACAAATAGTAGAAATGTGTGTTTCCATAGATAGCTGCGAATCAAACAAGACACCTAAGTTTCTAGCACTTGACGAAGCACTAACCAATTCTTCACCAATTGCGATACAAATTTTGTACAAATTCTGTAAGAAGAAAAAACTGATATGAATATTTAAAATGCACTGACCTTTGGGAAATCTGTAAATTCTACCTGTAGTCCCTGAATTTCAGCAAGGAACATCAATTGCTGTTTAGGTCGTAGTAGTTTCTGTTCAGTTTTAGGTCCAGTGCCACTTTTGATGAGAGCATCCGCAGTAGGCGACTTGCCATTAATCAATAGCTCTTTAGCAATAGTTGCAGTCGTTGCCATAGATTTACAACTATCTACTCCGAGATGACCGCCAGGTGCACGGTTTAAAACTACAAAGTAAGATAATAACCTTATTATTACACATCTTTTCCTCTCAATGATAAATCATGGGAATGCCGAAATACTGCCTACCGTTAAAATCCTATTATAAACCGCATACCTAATAGTAACCGCACCCCCGATTTTGGCTTCAGTGTTGAAGAGTTCTCAACAAAAATTGAAAACATGAAAAGTACCTAT